TCTCTCAAACTATATGAATCACATGACAATATCTTTGAATTAATTGTGTTATGTTGTTAATATCATAAATATAATTTTGATATCGAAAAGGTGTTGGATTTCGAATGTTAACGCATGTTAAATATGTTAATTATCACGGGAAATTATCGGATTACAAGTTCAATACACTATTATGGTTATCGAAATTATGTTTATCAACATACTATATAGTAGTTTAGGGATTAATATAGTTTGTGTAGTTTTTAATACGTTATATTTGTTTAGATATGTAATTATGTGGTGATGTATTGTTAGCGTAGTTAGTAACTTAGTAATCAATTTTATAAATAAAAATATGTAATTCTTGTTGATATAATCAAGTCGTCTTCGTTTAGTAGTGAAAGGGTTCAGTTAGAACTCGTGCCATGAATTTAATTTGCCTTGACCACCTATATGTACCATTTAGATGGATTAGTTGCGTATTCAGATGCAAGGTCTTGTAAGATTAATCTTTTGGCATAAAAAATGGTTGAGATCTACATGATTATCAAAAATAAGTATTGTCGACATTAAGGAATAGTAATTTTTTGACATACTAGTAGTCGCATAGTAGTTTGTTTATGTGTGGAATTAGGACTGGACAATGGGGGATTCAATCGGGTTTTGGTTCGAGTTCATTCGGGTTTCGGGTTTTCGGATTAATAAATTTCAGTCTCATTCGGATAATAAAAATTCGGGTCGGGGTTAGTCGGGTTCGGTTCGGGATTAGTAACATGTCTAAGATCCGGTTGAATCCGAAATAGTTTTGGTTTCGCCTACTAATCGGTTTATCGGTTCTAAAAATATTAATTTATATTCAATTAAACTCGCTATATTTTCAATCATTTTTATTAAATTTGTGTATTTAGCTTCTACAAACCATATTGTTTTCCATCAAAATAATATTTTGAAATTACTATATCAATCATATAAAATTTTCACTGAACTATATGTGACAACACTAAATATATCATGATTATTAACAAAAATCATACATAATAAAACAAATTTATTCGTAGCTTAACTTCAAATGTAATGGTAATCATAAACATTAATATTAACCAAATAACACTATATATTGACTAAATATTTGAGTTAATTATTCATATCATAACTAATTATTGTAGGTACTCAATAATATATTAATGTGTTTTGGAAACATATTCGAAATTTAGATTGGGTATAATACAATTTTTTTTGGAATTTTAAAGTTTCGGGTTCTTTCGGATATCCATTTAAGTTCGGATTCAGTTCAGGTAAAACCCATAACCCGAAATACCGTAAAACATGATCCATTTGTACTTATAGCGGATTTGAATCGGTTCAGATTTATTTTTATCGGGTTGGGTTCGGTTCGGATTTTTGGGTTCGATTTTTTTTTCCAGCCCTATGTGGAATAATAGACGAACATAATATTTTTTTATTATACTTTGGGTAGCAAACAAACATATACTTATTTACGAATATAAATTTTCTCTATATGAGGCTTAATTAAAAGCTTCCTGCTTTTTCACATGCAACAAATACGTTGTAGGAAAATCAGTTACCAAAAAGTAGTGGGAGAAATCAAATAATGAAATTTGCATTTTGGTTTTAGCAAAATGAAACTAGCATCTTCAAGTTGCATGCATAAATATTTCAAATAGAATTTGAATGTGGTTCTTTACATTATAGGAGCCGATAGAGAATCCGAACCCAAAAAAGTTTTGTTGATGATATCGCATTTGCTGCAACTACGTCCATTACCATTTTCAGTGTGTACATCAATGTGAAAAAGATTAGATTCCTTGTTATACACGCGTAAAAAATAATCAGCACTTGGTTTTGATTCGACTATCGTTTAAAGGAATTTAACTCGAATCAGAGCTACGTCTTTAATTTGAACATTGCGTTTCCTTTTGATTGAAAGTCAGCACCATGTTAAAATTTTGAACTGGAATTATTTTGATTTTTTTTCTTTTGACATTTCCCAGATTGATTAGTTTAAGAAAAAAAATGAGCGTAGGGAGTACGACATGTAATTCTTTTCGTGATATTTGTTATTGTTGTGACGCTGCCAATGCAAGACTACAATTGGTCTGTCTACAAGCTGAGCACCAGATTCGACCGTGTATAGGTAGTTTTGCACCAACACTAAAATGCCAGTTTTCTTTTGATCAAATCACTAAAATGACAGTTTAATATTCGACGTTTGTCTACATTTATGTAAAGTAGAGTAGAAAAAAACAAATACACATCAAAACCACGACTGACCTAAACAAACAAAGTTAGCGAATAATCAAAAGCCACCCACAGGTTTTAGACTAGGCTGGTAGGTTAATCGACTATGTGTTTTTATAAATCCACTATTGAAAAATGAAAGTCACGACCTAATTTCAACATATTGTTTTCTAGACAATATTTTGTTATTAATATTTTAAAAGGTTTGGATTTTGAATTTCTTGATCAACGGTAAGATTAATCTTGTTTACCCTTATGTTCGTCAGACCCATATGCGATGTTGTATCAGATAAAAAACCATTTGCTATTTCCTTATCTTTTCCAGGAAACAACACACACTTTATTCGAACAAACCCATCATTTTTCAAAAATATTCTGTTAAAAGATATTTTCTTTTTGGTAATCTTGGTCATCCAGACCGAAGACCCAACTAATTAATAAACTGTATAAAATACATTATGTTCTCACACATACCCCATATATCGTAGATTTCAAATCCGAGCTACTTAACAACTTTTCATACCCAACGTGTGACATGACCACACCTATGTGGTGCTTAAATGATATTTTTGTAACAATATTTTAATATCTGTTGTGTGGTCATTTTAGAATACTAACCGATCGAAAACAGCATTGTTGTCGTTGACGTTTACAGAAAATTTTGAAAGTTCAGCATCAGTTTTCATTACAGTTTTACCGGCATCATTGATGCATATCATATCACTGTTTTTTTTTTTTTTAAAAAGAGCACTATTATTTTGTTTAATCTACTAATCCAATTGATTTTTTTCTCATGCGTGGTAGACGGAACTAAGGGTATAACAGTCAAAAAAAGAATCAGAAAAGGTCGACCCAACAAATCGTTCTAAAATGAATTTTTTACATTCAAAGATAGTTTTAAGTTTTTTTATATCACAATAAGACAGTTTCTACTCCTATAACACGTTCTTAATCTATTTCATTCATTACTAACTAAAATATAACTAGAACATAAATGGTAGGACCCACTGAATTTTCATATTCTTTTTTTTTTCATATCTGTTTTTTTTTCAATACACAAATTTATAAAGTAAAAATATAATATCATCTTCTTTTCTTTCGCAATTGCTCTTCACCGTGTTTTATGGAAAAACTACATTTTCTAAGAATAATGAAAAAATACATTTTTGTTTTGACAATTATGGAAGAAAATATAACGGCACATAAGTATTTATGGAGAAGAGCTATGGCGATTTGGATATAATATGCCAAAACTTGAAATTAAAACTTGTTTTTCTGTTTTTTTTTTTGTTTTTGATTCGAATTGGTTAATCTTTATAATATTTGTAAGTTCTAAAGGTAAAAACACACAAAAAAAAATTGTATGATAAAAATTAATGGCGGCTATGAAGTATATTTGCAGGAAATGCAGAAAACCCTAATATGAAAAAAATGAAGTTATTACAAAATTGCCACTCGTTAAAAAAAATTAGGATTGAACGACCACATGGACATGTACATAATGTTAGGGTACACATGTTTGTGTACACGAGTAATTAAATGACCATGTGGATATGTACATAATATTAGTGTACGCATGCACATATTTCATTGTTCACATGTACAATATTTTATAAGAAGTCACATGTACATTTGTTCATTTGTATATTGCACAAGTAATGATATCAACATCATTGCCATTATCATTGTCATCTTCATCTTCACATTATATGTGTACGATAAAGTATAATAGCGTAAATAGGTATGATAAACAATGAGGTGTACATGTGTACATTAAATATGATAGTGTACACACAAATTTTTTATTTATTTTTTTATTAATAAAATTATGAAGTTAATATTATTTTCTTTTTTGGTCACTGTCAACCAAAAACGCTAATCTCAGTCTCTTCCACTTATTTTCATGATTCTTTACATTTTCACTTATTTTTATGTATTTTGTCCAGATCTAATAGATTTCAATCTTAATTCATAGTTTTATATTCAAAAAGTTGAACAAAATTGAAGCTTGAAGACATAAACACCAAGATTAAAGCTTGAGTTGACCAACATTAGAAATATAGCTTAACAGATCTTAAAATATAGATAGAATAATAAATATACTGATTATAACCTAGTGTTTGAGAATACAATTGTGCAAAACCAACATTCATTTCACAAAAAGAAAAATAAAGAACTCAAGAAATAGAAAAGAAGAAGAAAGAGATACATGAAACCCATTTTATTTTGTTTGATATGAAGATGTGTGGTCCCATAAAAATCAGATGTTAAATTAATTAGAATTATGATGTTAAATTAATTAGAATGATATAAATTAATTAATTTGTAACTAGAAAATGAGTTTAATTAGAAAAAAACTACCTTAATAGTATAAACTGTCATAGTGTAAATAAACTAAGAAACTGCCTCTGAATGTAATTATTCATAATAGCGTCAGTCAACTGGAACCGGCAAAAGGAGACGCCAATCGATGAGTACGCGTAGAGGATCTTATTGTACAATCAAGAAAAAATTGGGACTTTATGTAAAATTTTGAAAGTCAAGGGGACACAATTAGTTTTACCAAAAATAGAAAAATACATCTCCAAACTTTGCATACTTTTTGAACATTTCATTTCCTTGACAGAGAAAAGTCGCCGGTCCGGGTGGTCCGTCAGGGCAGAGTAATCTTCTAATTAGTTTGCTTTGAAGTGAAAACGATGGGTTCCATCGAAGAAGAAAGACCCTTCTTGGAAGAAGGTTCTGTATTATTACAGGTTCGATCAAGTAGTGTTCTTTGACTTTCAGTTTGATTACCAGTTACTGTTCAATCAAGGAACTGTGGCTCTGTATCTTAGGGTTTCATGTGTCAGTCAGCTTTGTCTGAGCTAGCCTATATGTTAGCTTAAACTGAGCTCAATTTCATTACCAACATGTTGTGTCTTTGTCTGAAGATGTTTCTTGATTTTTTTTTTATAAACAGGAAGTGAAACTGTATACGGAAGATGGTTCAGTGGACATTAATGGAAACCCACCATTAAAGCAGAAAACAGGAAACTGGAAAGCTTGTCCATTCATTCTCGGTAAGAAAAAACAAAAGCAAATGTTTCTTGTTTTGTCTTTTTGTTGTATTTCTAATCCTTTTAAGATTTATGACTTGGTCTGTACCGTTACAGGCAATGAATGCTGCGAACGGTTAGCTTACTACGGTATTGCCAAGAATCTAGTCACTTACTTCACCACTCAATTGCATGAGACCAATGTTTCTGCGGCGAGACACGTCATGATATGGCAAGGGACTTGTTACATCACTCCTCTCATTGGAGCTTTAATAGCTGATGCTTACTGGGGAAGATACTGGACTATTGCTTGTTTCTCTGCCATTTATTTCACTGTAAGCTGTTTTTGTGCAAGACCGATCCTCAGATTTTGAGGGCCGTAGACAATTTAGTTAAGATTCATATAAATTTTCTTAATAACAAATTTGAAGGTCTATATATGTAATTTTTTCTTAAAATTTTGAGGATTATATTCAATTAGGCAAAAATTATATTTAAAAAAAAAACAAATTTGGAGGCTTATATATTTTTTTTTTGATCAAATTTGGAGGCTTATATATATAATTTTTTGATCAAATTTGGAGGCTTATATATATATATATATATATGTAATTTTTTCTTAATTTCCGCATAGACCCTTGAAATGGTAATGTTAAGTTTCCTTTGATAATGTTTTGTGCTTTGATTTTGTATAGGGAATGTCTATACTAACACTCTCAGCTTCACTTCCGGGCCTTAAGCCAGCTGAATGCATTGGCTCTCTCTGCCCAACAGCAACAACATCTCAGTACTCAGTCTTCTTTACCGGTCTTTACCTCATCGCTCTCGGTACTGGAGGCATCAAACCATGTGTCTCATCATTTGGTGCTGATCAGTTTGATGACACTGACACTCATGAACGACTCAGAAAAGCTTCTTTCTTCAACTGGTTTTACTTCTCAATCAACATCGGTGCTTTTGTCTCATCTACTCTTCTAGTTTGGGTTCAAGAGAATTCAGGGTGGGGGCTTGGTTTCTTGATTCCTACTGTCTTCATGGGACTCTCTCTTGTGAGTTTCTTCTTTGGAACTCCGCTTTATAGGTTTCAGAAACCTGGAGGTAGCCCGGTTACTAGAGTTTGCCAAGTTCTTGTAGCTGCTTACCGTAAAATGAACCTCAAGGTTACTGATGTAGAAGACCAAACTCTCTTGTTCGAAACACGAGATAAGAACTCTGTAATAGCTGGAAGCAGGAAGATTGAGCACACAGACGGTTTCAAGAAAATATCGTTTTTAATCAGATGTTTTGTTGAGTGTTAATGGGTATAAATAAACTGATTTTATTTTTTCCATATATTATGCAGGTGTCTTGACAAAGCAGCTGTTATTACAAAACCTGATGTAACAAATGGTGTCTCTCTTAACCCATGGGAGCTATGTACTGTGACTCAAGTCGAAGAAGTTAAGATTCTATTACGTATGTTCCCCATCTGGCTCTCCGGCATCGTCTTCACATCTCTCCAATCTCAGATTTACACCTTATTCATACAACAAGGACGGTCCATGAAACGTATCATAGCCTCATTTGAGATCCCTCCCGCTACACTCGGGATGTTCGACACAGCAAGTGTACTCATATGCGTCCCAATCTACGACAAAGTCCTAGTTCCCTTTGTGAGACGGTTCACAGGTAGAACAAAAGGTTTCAGTGATCTACAACGCATGGGAGTTGGACTTGTTGTCTCTGTCTTGAGCATGGCAGCTGCAGCTATGGTTGAGACAGAGAGGCTACGTGGTGGTGGTGTTGGAGTGATGAGTATCTTGTGGCAGATTCCTCAGTATTTTCTTATGGGAACTGCGGAGGTTTTTTTCTATATTGGTCAGCTTGAGTTTTACTACGAGCAGTCTCCTGATGCGATGAGGAGTTTGTGTAGTGCCTTGGCGCTTCTTTCTACTGCATTTGGGAGTTACTTGAGCTCGTTGATACTGACGCTTGTGGCGTATTTTACTACAATGGATGGTCAAGATGGTTGGATTCCTTCTGAGGATGTTGATAAAGGACATCTTGATTACTACTTCTGGCTTTTGGTTGGTTTTGGATCTGTGAATGTTCCTGTTTTTGTTTTCTTCTCTGTTAAGCACTTGCAGAAGAAGGCTGCATGAGCTTCAGGTTTCCTGCTCTGTTAATAAGCTCTGCTCGGCTATTGTTTGAAATTTGTAAATATGAAACATGTAAAATATCCTAAGTTATGGGTCATTGTATAAAATTATGAAGACTTTAGTGCTCCTATTTGTTATTGCCAATTATTCTTGTTCTCTTCGTGTTCTTAATTTTTATTTATTTACTAGGTGTTTTGCCCGCACTTGCGGGCATAATTCTGTTATGAATATTTATTAGTTGATGTTTTATTAATTTAAAAATCAACATAATAAGTTATTTTATGTTTTCAAAAAGTACAAATCAAACATTATATAATTATCAATGACAAAATTCAAACATCAGAAATATTTAAAAGAATATATTTCTATAATTATTTTGCTTGATTTATTTTAATTATAATATTTGTACAATATTTTTACTTAATTTATATTTAATTATAGTTTTTAAATTTATAATAGAAAAACACATTTTCAAGATAACAATATAATGTATAAGTTATTTATTTTCTAAAAATATAATATGGTAATTTTTTAATTATATAATATTAGAAAAATTATGACATATAATCAAAATTACCTAAAATCATGGATAACTTAATGAATTAGCAAAGTCACTTGAGTGATGATTTATATTTAACTAATAATAGATAACTTTTCTATTTTAATTTATATAATATAAATATATTTTTTCAAGATAACAATATAATACATAAAAATTACCTAATTGTATAAAATTATAATATTATTAGTGTGAATATATTCTAATTATAGAATAACTACAACATTTTATATCTTAATTTTAAATTTCTAATAGAAAATATATTTTCAAAACATATCAACTTAATACGTAAGAAGTATCTTATTTGATAAGAATCTGATACTATTAATATAATTTTTTTTAAATATTTAATAAATTATATATAAAATTATATAATTTATGATAAATTATCAAAATTATCTAAAATCATGGAAAATATGACAAATAATCAAACATCAATTTCGCTTTTTTTTACATGTTAATTTTAAATTTTGTAATAGAAAAATATATTTTCAAGAAAAAAACATAATACATAAGAATTAACTTATTTTCTAAAATAACATATCATTAATATATATTAGTTTTAGTTATATAAACAATAATAAAAAATTAAAGAAATTCTTATAAATGATTAAAATTACCTAGGATCATAGAGAAAAATCAACAAAATAACTTTTCAAATAATTATTTTGATGATTTTTTAATAATTAATAATATAATTTTTATATCTTAATTTTAATTTTTATAATAGGAAAATATATTTTCAAAATAACAACATACTATTATCTTATTTTAGAAAAATATAAAATTATTAATAGAAATTCGTTTTAGTTATATAATAAATAAATAATTTTTATATCTTAATTTAAACTTTAAGTTTTATATATAAAAATATATTTGAAGATAAAAAAATAATTCACAAGAATTATCTTATTTTCTAAAAATATGATATATTCATATAAATTCATTTTATTTATAGATAAACTATATATAAATATTAAAAATATGATAAATAAACAAAATTACCTAAATTTGTGGAGAACATGACAACTAAGCAAATTTACTTCTTAAATAATAGTATAGATTCAGATAGTCATAATTATAAATTTGGATTTTAATTTTTAATATATTTTATTATTTAAATTTATATTTCTAACCATATAAATTTAAATGTTTTAAAATAACATAAAACAGTATATGATTATTGTCAAACACTAATAATCGATATTATAAGAAAATATAAATACGATCATCTTTTTTATTAAAAGAGAAGTACCAAATTTATCTACTATTTAGAAGTCATGTTAGACTATGTTATTAATTATTTAATTTGACATATTTAACTATTATATTAACCAGTCAAATATATATTATTTTAAAAATATCTAAATAATTAATAAGGATATTAATAATAACTAAATTTAAATATAACAAAACCTGTTGAAAAAATCTAACAAGATCTTATCAAAAAATTGAAATATTTCTTTTATAAAAATAAATATTTCATTATTATATATAATTATAAATAAAACTAAAATATAAATCATATATTTAAAAAATTTAGTTATATATAACTACCATCATTTGGACTCGACTCGCAATAGAAAAGATGCTTTATGTCTGAGATGGTATCAACGCCGGCTGATCCTAGATCTGCGGTTATTTGGACCGAAGATCCAGACATTTTCTGGTATACAAAAAAATACAAAAAAAAGAAAAAACTTTGAAATGGTTATTATTGTGTTTGTTAAAGAGAACATTCAAAATAAGTTTATGGTCAAGTTACGGGACCGTCAAGTTACATTATTTGTAGCGGGTAAAAATACATTTTTTCTTGGATAGCGTGATACAAGTTGAGGGATGGATAAGTCGAACCATAATCCTATCCTAATAAGTCAATTAACAATGGGTGAGAAATCGTAATCATAAGAGATCAGACTGTTATTGCTTTATTAGTTCGCTTTATTATCATCAAGTTCTATTTAATATTTCCCAGTTAATTAAAAAATCCCCGGGAAAATATAAAATATAAAATTAAAACCGAACACGTCATGTCTTCCCGATAAATACGATAAGAAGAGTAAAGAGATTCAGCAGATTAAGGAATCTTTTTTGAACAAAGCGGAAAACGATGGGTTCCATTGAAGAAGACGAAGCTCCTCTCATCGAACAAGGCTTAATCCCACAGGTTTGATCATCAAATTTATCATCATCGAGTTTCTCATACCTTCAATTTCTCGTTTCCATTCCACTTGAGCTTGAATTTGATGATCATGATGCATTTCTTTTTGGGTTTGTTGAGATATTTTCTGGGTAATTTATTATTTTCGATTCAAGTGTTTCAATATTGTAAATGGAGAGATCAAATTATGTTTTACAATACGGAAATATATCGCCTTTTCTTTCCTAATTTTGCTACAATTATAGTTTTGTTTAGCTAATTTTAAAGCTTGATTTCATTTATTATCGTTGACTTCGTTGACTCTATGGCTAAAATTGTGTGTTTTTATTTGTTTAAACCAGGAACCGAAATTATATGCTGAAGATGGTTCAGTAGACCTTCATGGAGACCCACCTTTGAAGGCTAAAACAGGAAACTGGAAAGCTTGTCCTTTCATTCTCGGTAATAAAAACAAAAAAAAAGAAACTTTCTTTCTTATGCTAATAGAGTTCTGTTTTCTTGTTTTGTCTTATAAGTTTTAATATGTGACTTTAAACGTGTACTAGGTAATGAGTGCTGTGAGAGGCTAGCTTACTATGGTATCGCTGGGAATCTAATCACTTACCTCACCACTAAACTCCACCAAGGAAACGTTTCCGCTGCTAGAAACGTCACTACATGGCAAGGCACTTGTTATCTCACCCCTCTCATTGGTGCTGTCTTAGCCGATGCTTACTGGGGTCGCTACTGGACCATCGCTTGTTTCTCCGGCATCTACTTCATCGTATGCACACACCTTTTTCTCACAATAATACCTCTCTTTATCCAACATAATAGGTCAAGAACTCAAGTATTAGTAGCTCATATCATTAGTAGTGTATATTGGCTAGTGAGTTAGTAACTATCCATTAATTTAGAGCATCTCCAACCCCACTCCATATTTTACTGGAATGGAAAATTGAGTAATGAACAAATAAAAAAATGATTATTCTATATATGGAGTAATGAAATTTTTTGTTTTTCATTACTCTATTTTGCAATAAATTATGGAGTGAGATTGGAGATGCTCTTAGAGTTGATTTTTGGTTTTGGTTGCTCTGTTTACGGATTCGTTATGTTTGCTCTGTTTAGGGCATGTCAGCACTAACTCTCTCAGCTTCAGTACCAGCCCTAAAGCCAGCAGAATGCATTGGCACCTTCTGTCCATCAGCAACACCATCTCAATACGCAATGTTCTTTGGCGGGCTTTACCTGATCGCCCTCGGCACCGGAGGCATCAAACCATGCGTCTCATCCTTCGGTGCAGACCAGTTCGACGACACAGACTCACGTGAACGTGTCAGAAAAGCTTCATTCTTCAACTGGTTCTACTTCTCCATCAACATTGGAGCACTGGTGTCCTCTAGTCTACTAGTTTGGATCCAAGAGAATCGTGGGTGGGGTTTAGGGTTTGGTATACCAACAGTGTTCATGGGTCTAGCCATTGTGAGTTTCTTCTTTGGCACGCCGCTTTATAGGTTTCAGAAGCCTGGAGGTAGCCCTATAACTCGTATCTCCCAAGTCGTGGTTGCCTCGTTTCGTAAATCGACTCTCAAAGTCCCTGGAGATGCTATGCTTCTGTATGAAACGCCAGACAAGAACTCTGCTATTGCTGGAAGTAGAAAGATCGAACATACCAATGATTGCAAGTTAGTTGCTTCATCTTCTTTCAACTAAACAGCTTTGCTTTGTTTTAACATGGGATCTATTATCTATATGATGCAGGTATCTTGACAAAGCTGCTGTTATCTCAGATGAAGAATCAAAATCAGGAGACTTCTCCAACTCCTGGAGACTATGCACAGTCACTCAAGTGGAAGAACTCAAGATTCTGATCCGTATGTTCCCAATATGGGCTTCAGGTATCATCTTCTCAGCTGTATACGCTCAGATGTCAACAATGTTTGTTCAACAAGGCCGTGCCATGGACTGCAAGATCGGCTCCTTCGAGCTTCCTCCAGCAGCACTAGGGACATTCGACACGGCCAGTGTCATCATCTGGGTCCCTCTCTACGATAGGTTCATCGTCCCCTTAGCTAGACGTTTCACAGGAGTAGACAAAGGATTCACTGAGATACAAAGAATGGGAGTAGGTTTATTCGTCTCTGTTCTCTGTATGGCAGCTGCAGCTATCATAGAAATCATCAGGCTCCATTTAGCTAACGAGCTCGGGTTGGTTGAGTCCGGAGCCCCGGTTCCTATATCCGTGTTATGGCAGATTCCTCAGTACTTTATTCTCGGTGCAGCTGAAGTGTTTTATTTCATTGGTCAGCTTGAGTTTTTCTATGATCAGTCTCCTGATGCGATGAGGAGTTTGTGCAGTGCGTTGGCTCTTTTGACTAATGCTCTTGGGAACTACTTGAGTTCGTTGATTCTCACGCTTGTGACTTACTTCACGACGATGGATGGTGGAGAAGGTTGGATCTCGGATAATTTGAACACGGGTCATCTTGATTACTTCTTCTGGCTTTTGGCTGGTTTGAGTCTTGTGAACATGGGGGTTTACTTCTTCTCTGCGGCTAAGTATAAGCAGAAGAAGGCTTCTTAGTGAGAATGTGTGGGTTTTCTCTTTCTTTTTATTAGACATACAAAGTTTGTGTTCTTTACATGTGTAATTGTGCTTGTATTGCAGTACTTTTTCTTTCAATTTCAAAAGTTAAAGTCACACTTGCATTTGCAAGATAAATCAACTGAAATCTACTAACCAATAATCTTCTTAGTTTTTAGCATTATTGCTAAACTTTAACAAATTTTCCGTATGTCCTATTCAGTTATTTATAATTTTTGGGGTCTAATTCGAAGCGAATTTATTTCAGATCCAAATTTCCAGTTTTACCTGTTATTCTAAAATACTTTAAATTAAAAAAAAGTATAAAAAAGTATCTAAATTATAGTAAAAACTACCTGAATATATGAAAAAGTATTTGGAAGTATATAAATTAACCAAATCTCCAATATAAGACTACTAAACCTTTCAAAAATACTTGAAAATATCCAAATTATCTAAATTTAAGGAAAATGAGTTGATAAATTTAGTCAATTTCAAGTTTTTAATATATTAATTTGGTTTTCGGTTTGAATCGGAGTTTAATATTCAAAATTTTAGACCTTTTCAGGTATTCTCCTAATCAGTTTGGATGAGATTTAGGTTTTTTCAGTTTAGATTTGGATTCAGTTATATATGCTCAAACACAGGGGTGATTGGTAGGTGATGTCCACAGCTCTATTTATTTCTACCGAACTAAATTCAGAGCAATCAAGATTTAAAATATATTTTGAAACCACACCTCTTGAAATGACTTACAGTTATACAAGTGTTCTGCAAAGCCAAATATCAAAAGCAATTTTTTAGTGCTTTCTGAAAAATCTACAACAATAAAATCTAAAACCACAGCAAAAAGTCTACAAATGTTTTTTTACAGCAAGAACTTATAAGTTATAGTCACTAACAACCGGACTCGTCATCACAATCACGCTATATATGATGAGTGAAGACTCTGCTTAGGAATAATTGTAGTTGTAGGCTTAATTCAACAAAAGCCCAATTATATTTGGGCTTAATAAATCAAGCAGACCCATTTCTAACAGGCCCAATAAGACCCGAAACAAAGAATCCGAGCAATCTCCTGGTCAAGCAAAATCGGAGACGCCAAGAGAAAAGGAACCATCGAAGTTTGCGTAGGAAGGAGATCGCGAGAAGACGAGGAGAATGGAGGTTCCAGGTTCATCGAAGAAGATGATCGCAACGCAAGAAGAGATGGTCGCAGCTAGAGTCCCTCTCGGTTACAGAGACCAGTGCGCTCATCTCCTGATCCCGCTCAACAAATGCCGCCAGGCCGAGTTTTTCCTTCCCTGGAAGTGCGAGGACGAGCGCCACGTGTACGAGAAGTGCGAGTACGAGCTCGTCATGGAGAGGATGCTCGCGATGAAGAAGATCCGCGAGGAGGAGGAAGCTAAGGCTAAACAAAGTAAAGTGCAAGGGAGTGGTGTTCCTTTGATCCCTAAGACCGCTAATGCTTAGGTAGGTACTCGATTTCGATCTCCGGTTAACCGGTTTGAGATTTTCCGGTTAGTTATAACGGTCTTCGATTGAATTAGATTCGTTTCCTATGCAAACAGATTAGATCTTGGTGGTTAAATTGTTTGGATTTGATTTACGTTGTGGATGAATGAGATTGTTTGCTGTTAGGTTTTCTGGTGCATTTATATAGTAGCAGTGGTCTTGGAGGTTGCAGTTTCGATTCTAGTTGGAAGGGGTCTACTCTCTAAAATAGCACTTTTAAATTAAATAGTAAACCATCTCTATGATGTCTGAAATTTGGAAAGAGACTTCGTGTTGTTTCCTATTTTTTTTAAACCTTTAGGTAAGTCTTACTAAGCGGGAAAAGAGTGTTTCGATGATAAGCTCAATTTTTAAGGCTATGTATTATATCTTCTCTCTGGCTTCTAGGCTTAGAATGTCTTATGCTTGAACGATTTGTTTTTCGTTTTAGGTGCCATTGCAAATGGATGAGATTGTTTGATGTTGCCTGTTAGATTTCTGATACTTTTGTCTTGGATTCAAGTTGTGGTAGAGATCTCTTTTGTATCAGTACTGGTAGAGAAGTATCTGGAAACCATCTCCAATGATATCTGAAATTTTAGATAAGCCTTGAGACTTCGTCTTGTTTCTTCTTCTTTTTTTTTTTTTTTACTCAAAAGCTTAATATAATAGTCTTGCAATACACAGTAATAGTACACATGCTCAATTTGCTAGACTGTATATATAGTACATGTTTCGCTTATGTTCTCTCATACTTCTAGGCTTAGAAGTCTTAGGCTCGATCAATGTCTTGTAAACTTTGTTTCAGATATCATGGCTACAGTAACATGAGACAGCTCAATTTGCTAGGTTATATATGTTGTATGTTTGGTTTATGTTCTCTCACACTTCTAGGCTTAGAAAGTCTTATGCTTGATTATTGTGTGAACTTGTAAATTGTATCTCAGATATCATGGCTACGGTCACTCTGTGTGTGTGTGTGTGTGTGTGTTACTTACACAATAATTAAGAAGCATTTGTGATATTACAGCACGCAACAGATTAGAATCTTGGTGCCTACATTTTTTGATTTAGGTTTGTTTTGCTGTTAGATTTCTGATACATTTATCTTGGATTCCAGCTCTGGTATAGATCTCTTTGAAACCAGAATCGAAATACTTCTTTATATATCCTGCTAGAGAAGTATCTGAAACCCATCTCTATGATATCTGAAGTTTGGATAAGCCTAGAGACTTCGTCTTGTTTCTTTTCTCACTCAAAAGCTTAATATATCAATCTTGAACTACACAGTAACTGGACACAGCTCAATTTGCTAGACTGTATATATTATATGTTTGTTCTTCTGTTCTCTCACACATCTAGGCTTAGAAAGTCTTCTGCTTGATCTATTTTTAGCTTGTAAATTGTGTCTCAGATATCATGGCTGAAGTAACAAGACACAGCTCAACTTGCTAGACTATATGTATATTATATGGTTGGTCTATGTCCTCTCACACTTCTAGGCTTAGAAAAGTCTTATGCTTTATCAATTTTTAAACTTGTATATTGGGTCTCAGATATCATGGCTACAGTCACTCTGTGTTACTTATAAAATCCTTAAGAAGCATTTGTGAGATTACAGCACGCACTACATACTTTTCTCTGTGTGTGAGTATCTTCGAATCAACATATTAGATCTTTTTGGCTCCATTTTTTCGATTTAGGTTTAGTTGAGAATGAATGATATTGCTTGCTATTACATTTCTGTTGCATCATGGATTCAAGCTCTGATATAGAATTCCTTTAATCCAGAATCAAAAGCCTGTTGTGTCAATCCTGCTAGATAAGTATCTAATACAATCTCTATGATTTCTTAAGTTTGGATAAGGCTAGACACTGCATGTTGTTTCCCTTTTCACTCAAAAGTTTAACATATTAGTGTTGAAGTACACAGTAGCACTATCTCCTGAAACCTTTAGGTAGACAGCTCAATTTGCTAGACCATAAATATTATATGTTTAATCTATGTTCTCACACTTCTAGATTTATAAAATCTTATGCTTTATCGGTGTGTGAAACTTGTATCTCAGATATCATGGCTATAGTCACTTTTGTGTTACTTGTAAAATCCTTAAGAAGCATTTGTGAAATTACAGCACGCACTACAGTCTTTTCTTTGTGTCTGAACATCTTCTGCTTTAAAGACTCTGAAAGGAATATACACTCATTGATTTGGTGGATTATATATAGTTAGCATATGTCACAACAGCTACAGAAAGATTCTCATGATTTAACTCGTCTCACTTGCCATTGAGTACCTCTTACATACTTGTGTCGTTTTATTTCCTTTTTCATGTTGTTCATTGTCCTTGCCACTATGATTTGACAGCAATGGGTGTTTTCTCTTCTCTAAAGACAGACCCCTAAATGTCTAAGATTCTCTAACATGCTAATGATTCTTTTATTCATTCTTCTGTGTTCTAATTTATCCTCTGGAATATTTGGACAGGGATTCTCTGCAACTGGGGAGAAGGTGGGGGCTCTGCTTTTCCATATTTTCTTCTTGTTAGTGATGAAAAATGTGTTGCTACATTTTCAGATGTGTATGTTCAAGATTCTCTCCCTTTTTTTATTGATTTTGGTAAGTCTGAACCAAAAGAAAATAAGATGGAAACTCATCTTTTTGTTGGTTTTCTATCTTTTAAGCTTTGAGAAAGAAAGAAAATTGAACATATGAGAAAAATAAAACTATTCTCTTATTTAATGAGAAAAATCCTCAGCAGGCCACTTCAATTTTTTTATAATCAAATCATTACAGCTTGGAGTTGGAAGCCCTTAAACTCCTTTGGTTATACTAAAGTTTATTAATATTTACATAAAATAAAATATAGAGTTCCACTCACAGAGAAACAATTTATTATCACATATACAAATTAATGAATAATATTTTACAAAAGATTTTTGATATAAAGCATAAAACTTCATATAGAAGACGGTTTAATATAGTTCAAATACGAATTGGGGCAATAAAATAAAATTGTCGATTTTCTGTATGTAGATTTATTGGTTAGAATTATGCTATATTTTTTTGTATATATTGTAATAAAATAGTAAATGAATGCTAGAATCAAATTATCAAAGCATTTACAAAATTACAATTAGACTAACAGGCCATGTTTGTAAGCGAATATCGGAGAGTACACGTCACGGAAGCATAAAAACAAAAGTACACCTTGTAGTTATCTCCGTAATATGATGAGAAGGCTAAAAAACATGGATTGGGAGTAAAAAGAGGTTATGCTAAGAAAAAACATATCAAATCTAATTTCAATCCTTATGATAAAAAGTCAAGAGTAGTTTGGTCCTACTTTCCAATAATTATGCAATCACTACTCTAAACCTTTTCACATAGCCATGCATAGATCTATCCATGTGTATATTTTTGAATATTGTATTCTTTGCCTTGTAATTTCTAGTATATTAATTAATTGTGGTCCATCCTTTCCCAAATCATACTTTTAAACAACTCTCTTTCACTTTTGTTCTAAGTGTGAAAGATTAATTCTTCTCCGTTGTCTCTAGGTGTTTTATGGATTCCACCTTTTATACTATTTGGAAGTTGCGTTGTTATTGCATGAGCTATGGTTGAATCCAATCAATGTGTGATGAGAGACCCAATATTAAAAATAATAATATTAAGAGTTTTCAAATCTATATATAGTTTGGTGAGATTGCCATCGTTTTGAAATCCTGAACCCAAATTGTTTACACATGTGTATTAAGTTTATGATAAAGAAAAAAACAAACAAAGAGAATTTATTGAATGTTTTAGTTGTGCTAAAAGCCATGAATCATGGACCTCTACAGTCACTTATTCAATTTCTCTTGTGGCTAGTTGTCTACTGCATACTCATTTACTATATTACTAGATTATGATTCGCACAACTGTGCTGATTTTTTTAATGCTAAAATATTTTATGTTATACAATAAAAATTATCAATTTATTAATATAAATTGATGTTATATATTATTTAAATTTATAATAATATTTTTGTGGCTTAAATATTATTATTTTACAATTTTTAATTTTTAAACATTATTATGTAACAGTAATAATTATTTTATTTCTTAATTTGAAATATATGTGAAAGTAAATTAATTTGGACTAACATAATAAGGAAGCAAATTTTTAGAATAATGTGAAAATTGTTTTATATAATTTGTAATTTGTGTTATAAATAAAAAATGAACAATTGTTTTAATTATATTTTCTGATTATTAAAATTTTAATTACTAATTCAAAAATATATTTGAAAAGATCTTAAAGATCTTAATTTTATATTTTTTGTATTTCAAATAAAAATTAAAGATATAAAAAGATATTATAATGATTTTATAGAAAATCTATTAAATTTTATAAGAGTGATCTAAATTAAAAAATCACACATGAACTAAGTTATGACTTTTGTTTTATTATAATAGATTTTCATTTGTTATTGTTTATTTATCACTGATAGTACTCCTAACCACTTTCCGACGGCTAGACTTATAATCCGTCAACAGATTTGTGTTAAATGATGGCGATAAGATGGTAGTCGGTTTGGCATATAAAATCAGTACGTTATATCACACCTTGAGAAAAACAATTAGTGTTTTAGTTACAACAGCTTATCCAAAATAAAAGGGTGAACCGTATGATATGACAGTCAATGTGATATAGACATTTCATTAGGGGCTTATTTGTACACTAACAAATAGAAATTGGTTTTGTAGAGAGAAGGAGAAGAGAGATAGAACGAAAAAATTAGAAGTATAGGTGCTTTTTACTTGACAATTTTGGTTGTTTGTGTTGTCATATGGACAAATTTCCTTTTATCATATTCTAAAGTCTTATACAAATACTAGGTTAAAAATCAACTTATTTTTACCAAAATTTGTGGTGTATTCTTTTTATATCAATTTAGAACATTTCAGATTTATAGAAGGATTCATATTAATTGTCAAACGAAGATATATGCATTCCATATATTGATTATCTCTTAGATATTCAAATAGTTCCTACACAATGAATCTATATCCACCTGAACACATGATAAACTGTAGTGGAGTGTGTTCGAATCCTGATATTGTTTAGCAACTAGATCGTCTCTCACTAATAAGCACCATCACATCACATGGTTCCAAATGGTGGTGATAAGAATTCGTTTTGGTTGCAATGATCATAATTTAGATAACTTATCTGAAATATTCTTGTAGTCAATATATAGATAATATACGCAACTCGTGGGTCTTTGAAAGCTGGTGATTGATAATAATAGTTTAATCACCGTCTAATCAAACATTAACCTTTTTCAATGCAGTGTTTAAATTCTCTTAACTCGTAAAAGCGACTTTCAGTGTATATGAGAATTCCACGTGTTTATAATAATTTAGAGAATGTGCATGAATGAGAAGAAAAGGCAAAGCATAGTAGTCTACATTAATGTCAATGGCTTCACTTTGTGTGTAGAGTTTTATATATTTGATTATGTGATTTATGTTTTTTCCTTCGGTAAAGGTCTTATTTTATTTCTGTGGCTTGAAGATGACGACTTTGTTAAAATTAGAAATTATTTAATATTTTGTTTCTTAATCGAATATTCATTTGGTTTTTGTTAAATTTGATACCACGTGAAAATACGTGTTAGCTGTCTCAAAAATCAGGTGTAATTACTAGGACTACGTTAAATCATATACGTAAAACAATATTGGATATTTAATGTATTGGGTAATCAATTGGAGAGTAGCTGATATAATGATTCTTTGAAAAGGAAATAATACTTGTCTGTCTAGAATAATATAAATATACAACATGATGCATGTAGTCGAGCGGCGTTGGTTTGGTCGTTTTGGGGGATAATTACATTTTAGGCTTATCAAAAGTTGAATAAACGTATTATGAAAGTTGAACCGGACCAAAGAAGAACATATTATTACAAGAAGAAAAAAACGTATTCGATGGACAATATTCTATCAGAATTTCATAATTAGCTAAATGTTAATCAAAATGCTGAATCCGTGGTTGAAACAATTGCAGAAATCAGTGATTACTGTGGGCTATCATGCAGGTATACCTTTGACTTTTGATTCATCATCGATTTCAATGTGCAAAGAAACAATAAACAATAAGAAGAGAACAATATGTAAAGGACCCATACTTTATTTAAGAGGCAAAAAATATAAACAGTTTGTACTGTATAATTATTTTACTTCATGAAGTATTTATTACTTAATAGGGAAAAGAAAATGAATAGAATAAGGAAGAAAATTGAATGGGAATCGGGAGAAAATGTAAGGCAATGAAGTAAAACGGTGGTCCAAAAGGACCATTGTAAATTTCTGATTTACTTAAATCAGAAAGCTGAACACGAAAAAGAATATAGAGAAACAAGAACAGCTATTATGCTACGGTCAAACCTTAGCAGTTGGGCTATTCTAGTATAAATTTATTTTAAATATGGTCTAAACAACCCTTTTTTTTTATTTTGAACACCAGGTCTAAGCAACTTATGGTGAAAAAGGGATGAAAAGAGCGAGTAAAGTTTAATTTGCAGGGGAAATTTATTCATTTGGGTAAATCCCAAATCCTTATAGATAAATACTACACCTGAGTTTATTTGATTATTTGTGGAAAGACATTAGTATTAGGCTCGAGAAATAGCCAATTCTTTTCATGCGGTTAGTATACTGTATATATAAAGCCTCTTGTAGAATTCTTGTACGTTGATAATTTGATATGTAATGATTCTCTTTGAACCATTTAAATATATATAAGATAATAATGAATGGGGTCAAGAGTCAAGGTTACTGTCACCAAAGTCAAACCGATTTCGTATGATTACCACTTTTGTAGATTGTATTTGTAGACGGGTATATCCTTGTAGCTAGGTTAAAAACCACATGTCATCTCATTTTCTTAAGAATTTTTTTTATAAAGTAACTACATTCCAGCTGGTATTGTTATACCTTTAATTCATTCATATATATAAAGTATATATCTTTATTCTTTTTATTTTGGTTGTACTTTTAACACTTTTTTAATTGTCTAATTAAGTGGCCAAAAACTGACTTTAGGAGATTTATGAATTCTCACATGTCATGAACAATTCATAAACAAGAGAATTATATAATTGTCCAGTTATTAGTTAAGTGTAGGTTTTGTAAAATGTAACATCATTAACATAGTTAATCTGGTATATATATACATACATGATAACAATTCAAAATTAGAACCAAACCAAAACCGAATAAATTTGTATATCTGACTTAAAATAACATAAACTCGAAGTGATATATATCTAATTTATAGTAAATTAAGTATCACTGTATCTAAAACGAAACCATCAAACAAAATCCAACATCAAAGTCAATTTAAATCCTAGTTACTTGGGCACAACTAGCTACAATGAAATATCCAGCAAACAAAATTGACTGAACATTTTCTGAAGTTTTAATTATTATTATTATTTTTGGATGCATGCAGGTATACATAGAAGAGAGAAACAAGTATGAGTGCATCCAAAAAAAAGACAAAGAGAATAGATGGGAAAAGAGTCGGTCATCTCTTAGAAAGAGCCAAAACCATATCAGAAAACAAAATAACTTCCTCTTTTAATCCAACACATACACATGTACACATCCTCTCTCAACGCTCTTCGTTTTTTTCTTGGGTTTTAGAACAAAAACCAAATCTTGTTTTAGGGTTCTTGACACTGATTTTTTTTTTTTTAAAGAAAATGGGTAAGTGTGGTGGGAGAAACGGTAACGGCGTTGGCTTTAACGGTCAAGGAGGCGGTGGAGTTAGGCCGTACGTACGGTCTCCGGTGCCTAGAATCAGATGGACGCCTGATCTTCACCGTTGTTTTGTTAACGCCGTCGATATGCTCGGTGGCCAACATCGTACGTTCATATTTTGTTATAAAAATACATATCTTTTTCCACTTTGTCTCTTGTTTTAGTAAAACTTTTGAACGATGCCCATCACAGTTTTGCTACTTTGTTACATTCATATATATATATATATCTAAAGTTTGAGTTTTTGGATCTTAAGAAAAAGTTTGAAACGTTCTCATCTTCATCGATCCTAAAGAACCATCTTCGTCAAGTTCTTGAACCAAGAATCACACTTTGTTGTTTTATTTCATTCATATATCTTAGTATTTTCTTAAAAAAGTTTTGTAACTTCTCATTATTTTTTTCATGAAGAAGAATCATCAAAGTCACCTTTTTAATATGTGTTTTTGTTCTCTTTTATATTCTGTTGGATTTGATGAAACAGGAGCTACTCCGAAGCTTGTTCTTAAGATGATGGATGTGAAGGGACTCACCATTTCACATGTCAAGAGTCATCTCCAGGTAAAAAATTGATCTCTCTTATCATTATTTATTTATTCATAATATCATGAAGATTAAAGTTTTTTTTAATAATGTTCTTGTCTTTATCACATATATAACAGATGTATAGAAGTTCTAAACTCAGTTTGGGGAAATCAGGTAATGTATATTTTCTTTTCTTTTTTTTGTAAATTTCGAAAAATATTCTGAAAAGATATGATTTTCGAAAGAATGGGACCGTTGAATTTAATATGAACTGTTAACGTCAAAACTATAATAGTGGATGGGATTAAATTGTTTACTGTTTCTGTTTGTAGTATGTACTATTGGTCTAGTGTCATGATTCATAAGACAATTGTCATAAATACATATATTTGTTTTTAACAAATAATAAAATGTGGATTGCTATTTTGATAGGTCATGAGAATATTCATTATGATCATAGCTTTATTCATTTTTTTTGTTTTTTTTGGGACAGAGGAAAGCTCTTCAACTTCAATAAGAAGAAGACAAGACACTGAAGAAGATTATCTTCATGACTACTTGTCTTTACACACAAGGAATGATTGTCTTACGGGTTTTCACTCTTGTCCTCTTTCTTCACATTCTTTACTTAGGTAATTTTATTTATTTTTTAGAATATACTTTCTGACAAGTTTTTAATTTTGTATCAGAAATGCTATCATATATACTTTTTGCCTGTATTCGAATTGTCCTTTTTTCCTTTTTAATATTTTTTCTACTTTGGTGCAGAGGTGTAAGACAGGAGCAGACTTCAGAGTCTGGTGGTGATTACTTCCCTCACATCATGAACACGAAGATGATGAAAGAAACGACCGCGTTTCCATCACATCACCTCCACAAGGTATAGCTATCTCTTTTTTTGGCAACATATAAGTTCATTTAATTAGAAAACTAAACCAAATCCAGTCCAGTTTAATAATTGTTTATCTTTAAAGTTCTAACCGGTTTGGCTGAAATTGGGGTGAAGTCCAAACCGAATCATGTCCGGTTTAATTTCCAAATTGTTTTAGAAAGGCTTATTAGAGATTTAGGGTGGAGGAATAGAGTTTGGTTTAGAGTCTTAACCGGGTCGATTGAAACTGCGGCAGCGCTAGTTAAATCTTGTCCGGTTTAGTAACTGATTTCATTTCTTGACTCAATAGAAAACAGAGGAGGAGAACACTTGGAATGAACAAGAACAAGAACAAGAACAAGAACAAGAAGAAGATTTGTCGTTATCTCTGTCGTTGAATCATCATCATCATTGGAGAAGCAATGGATCATCAGTGAGCGAAACGAGTGAGGCGGTCTCTACATGTTCAGCACCATTGGTCAAGAAAGATTGCTTCGGTTCTTCAGCAAAGATTGATCTTAACCTTTCAATTTCTCTCCTCGGCAGCTGAAATCATTAGTAAATCTTTGTTTATTAGATTAGTTGCAGCGAAAAAATATTAAGATTTTTTTTGTTAAACTTGTAGGATTTAAATCATGAAAATAAAATTTTAAATTTATCGCGAATATATATCCAAAGAAAGCAGGCTTTAAACAACTAATAAACTTGCAGCCCATAAGGAGATGACCCAGGCCCAATTCAAGACCCAATTCGATGAATTCATACTTGAAGATTTATTTGATATGCTTTTGAAGCTTTTTCTTTTGTTTCGTGCGATCTAATACATCAACAACACTCTTCAATTCACCTCTTTTATCTGTTTTGTATGAAACAAATCTTGTATGTTTTCACTTTTTTTTTTTGCTTTGAAACAAATATTAGTTTTGATCTTCAAAATTTTTTGGAAGGTTTTTCATAGGTGCCTTCAAATTATGAATTTTTTTTATGGAAGTTCTTGAGAAATGTTTATATAACCGGGCTTCGTAGCCTGGTGGTAAAGGAACCTCGGTTGAGGTGCCCGCCATCCGACTTCGAATCCCGGCCACCACATAATTTACATGCGGAGTTGGTGTGGCGTTCCAGACCACTTAGCATAACCAGGGGCCCTTAAGTGGATGCTTAAAAATCCTGTCATGGCATGGGCTTAGGCCCGGTGGGCTAGTCGATCACGCTTAGTGGTCGGATACTGGTTCTTCAAAAAAAAAAAAAAAAAAAAAAAAGTTTATATCCACTAAAATCTCAGATCGGCCCTGTTCAAGTCTACGATGGACTATGAAGGATTCAACTGGAAGACTGTCAAATTACATGAAGATTAGAGTTCGACTCTGTTACACTGGTGAGTATATAAATTTTAACACTCGACCCATAATTGGATATCAAGGCATGAATAGGGTCATGTGCCACCGGTCTATTTAGGTGGCGGCTTTATTACATGCCAATTTTCCCCGTTTTTGTAGTAATTAGCAATCCATGCTCTGTCAAGTCCATAGTTGTAGTAAGTTAATAAGCATTTTTAAGGTCCACAAATGTTTGTTTTATCGTAAATTTGAGCTCAATTTCTACTTATGCAAATATGATGTACAATCTGATTAGGTTGTGAGTTTTTTTTTAATATAAGCTAATTACATACTAAGATTTTAAAAATAATAGAGTAATATCAAGCCATTCGTTATCCTCACAGCCACAAATACTTTACTGGGCCACATTTGATTTTTTTATTGTGGTTTCAGGATTTTGAATTTTGAGTTTAGGTATTCCATTGTGTGGTTCGGGTTGGCAGTCTTATACTCGTTTAAAAGATATCACAAGAAAGATTGAATTGTCTTTTCTTACTTATCAAAAGAGACATGGTCGGTCTAAAGCTATATTTTAAAAACCATGGCTTTAAAAGTTTGCTTACTGATAATTAGAACAAAAGGTAACAAAGAAAAGTATGTTTGATTATATAAATATATTCCCACAATAGCTCACTAAATCTATTCACTTTTGGCATGAATAAAATGAAAATTAGATTGACATGTCTTTACCTTTTCACGGGATATAGCCCCGTGGTTACCTCTTTCGGTTGCTTCCTTTTCTAAAATGGCTGAAGGTTTTTCATTTTCTTTTTACTCATTAAAATATCATAGTTGTGTTGATGCTGACCGGACTGCCCTCTACCGCTAATGTCAACCCAGCCTAGCTAGACCCGCTTGTTGGGTGTCGCGTGACCAGGCTGCATCCGTATTGCCAAAAACTGTACGGCGCGGGTAAACCGGTAGAGTTGCAGCAGCACGGGGCATGAGTGGTTGTGAACGTTTTTTTGGTCTAAGTGGTTGTGAACGTTTAGGCTTCTTGCCTTTCTTTTGCACTGCAAATAGCTTTCAGCACACAACTAGACCAGGCAAGCATAATGTACACAACAATAATAATACGATTTTAAAAGCTTTGTTATGATGGTTTAAAGTTATATTCAACAAAAAATGCTTCTTGTACATGGAGATGCAGCATTTTTTTTATTTGATGTACAACATTAAAAACGACTTAAAACTAGAAAACATAGCGTGGTAACCAGTTTTTAATTGTAACCTCAAGTAACAAACTGGCAGATTAGGATATTTAACCAATTGACAAATCAGTTTGTGTAAAGGATGGCACATAGCATGATATTCTATTCTGCACGTTTATTGGTGTAAGAGTCTGATTATACTTAAAATATTGGTGTATAATTCAATATCTAACATAAAATGATAGTGTATGACTAAGGTTTCATCTAATCTCATTTGTGAATCCATGCTCATTCTCGGTCTGTGGCACCCTCTTTCATTTGATGGCCAGTTCGTTACTTTAAGATATAAAAGATTTTGCAAATCACCACGAAAGTTCTATCCTTCATGTTTTTTCTTACATCAGCAAAAATGAAAAATGCTAAAACTTATTTCGTACTATGTTATTTATTTTATAATTGAACTATGTCAAGTACTTTAAGCTTTAAAAGTCTTTTTGAAGTGATTTTAGAAAGATATTTTTCAGTTATATAAATGTTTTGGTTGTATGCAGTCAAATGTACAAAACTGAAAATGATTACAGTGATTCTCGTTTAAAGCAGTTTTATTCCGAGAGTTTTTGGAGTGTTTCATCCAAAATATATAAATGAAAAGCAAGAAAATAAGGAGGAGTTTTCAAATGAGAATTTATGAAAATTCCATGAAAAACCTCTGTAGCCACCTAGCAATTTGTGATTAGTTTCTAAAAAATAAAAATTGATTAATTATCTTAAATACATTAAATTAAAGACTAAAGTTCTGTTGTTAAGAAATGTTTTTTGAGTAACTCATGGATGGAGTTCTCTTACAAAACACAGTTATCTTAGTCGCCAACCAAGATTAGTGTGATCGTTGGACTCTATTCTCATTTGGATTTCAATTATTTTATCACTTTTTACGCTATAACCATCCTTCTAGGTCCTAATTCGTGAGTCATTCATTATACATATTTTGTGAGTTATTTTGGATGGCAAATGCGGTGCTCAAGATACAAGAAAAACTAGGAAACTAGTCTTATTGGTTATCATGAGAGTATTTTATATGTTTTGTTTTCTGCCGCATAATAATAAATAAAATCTCATGTCGGTATTGAAAAAATAATTAACAAACATATATGGACAATCTACATTTTTTAAGTTGGATGCCTATGACAAATCCTATCGTATCATAATCTTTTGATATTGGATCACTATGTGGAGATTATTCCTATAATTAGTAATTACTCATGTTTAAGCATTAAAGTGTTATGAATAAATGAATATTCACATTGGTAGTTGGAAAAATAATTAATCAATATAAAATTCATTCATCTATCGTCAATTGATTTTAAATTGAAAATTCATGATAATTCTTAATTTAACACATAACATTACATAATTTAGTCATCATTATTAAAAAATTTCAACTCAGACACCTAATTGTAGAGTTCTTTAAGGATGAACTTGTTAAAAAGTTTTCTTAGTATGACTCTCTTAAACCATCATTATCCCAACATCCTATTTGGGATGCTTAAATTTTATATATCTTTTTATTTAAAAAAAAAAACTAATCATAGACCGCTATTTGTTGTGAGACTCGTGGAATAGACCAAGCATCAATCAAAACGGAAAGTTTATATTGCTTCTCTAAATACTCAGATTTTCTTTTTTATGGACCTCTCCTAAGCACTCCCAAAGCACATGCGATAAGAATGCTCTTAAAAACTAATTGCTTTTCAAAATTTAAAATAGTCAAACTTAACCATATTTTATGCATAGCTAGATATATCCCTTGTTTAAAAACGCGGGCGCATTGCCGGAAAATCGGCCGGAAAATCGCTAATCAGTGACTCATCGTGACGAACATGACCAGATCGGCGTGATTAGGCGATGAAATGATTTTATCTCAGATTAGCCGCGTAATTGAAGAAATCAGTGATTTGGATCTGTTCTTACTTTTATTAACTTTCCGTTTGGTCATTTACTTTTATTAAAGCTAAAAATAATAAAACGTCATATATGCATTTGACCTTGTTTGAACCTGTGACTTGATGGAGCTTTACAGAAGGGATTCACCACTAGACGATGCAGGAATACTTTGTCATTAATGCAAATTTATGCTATATATAGGTGATTACTTTGATTTGCATAGAGAAAAGTTGATGTTAGTAATGATGTATCTTTAATAAACATGAATCAAACAAATTTTTGTAATATACGTATAAAATGTGACATTATACGTATAAAAGTATAAAAAATTCCTTCCCGCGTATTCCCTGATTTTTTTCTGATTTTTCGATAAATCGCTAGGTCCGTATGTGCCGCACGCGTAGAGCCTAGCGAGTTCCTGAACATTGGGTATATCACATGATTTATTTTTATCACTTGGATACTAAATTAGAGATATCAATTTGTGGAGCGAAAATATCAGTCTATTATTGTAGCGCTTGTCATGTAATCAAAGATTGATTTAAAAATCTTATTGTCTCGCCATGACTTATACGCGGCACAACAGTTGCTTAAATAGAAAGATTTGTAGATTTTTCATAACTGACAGATGGCCAGATTTACTTAATGGTCTGTAGCAGCTGTTAGCAAAAGCACATCCCCAAAGGTAGCTTGCTTAATACTCCCTCCGTTTCAAATTATTTGTCATTCTAGAGTTTTGCACACAGATTAAGAAAACAATTAATTTTACATATTTTTAAAATAAAAACACAACTACCTATACACCTAACCACTTTTCAACCAATGAAAAAATAGAATAACATTTAAAATCAATAAATTTTGTATTGAAATTATAAAACGACACTTATTTTGAAACGAAAATTTTACTCTAGAATGACTTATAATTTGAAACGGAGGGAGTAGTAAGTTACTCTTGTATTGGTTGTTTGTCGTAGAGACTTTTTTATAAAATAACTTAATAACTTTGATCTTAGATTATTGTACCATGCCCAATATTTTTTGGTAAAAAAAAAAGTGCATTTTTTTGTCGGAAACCCAAA